AGTAGCGGAGTGCGTACACTTAACCGCCAAGCCACGGGGCTGGCCCCTGCTTATTTAGTCTTGCTAAAGGTTTGTCAGTGATGTTGATGTTTTCAAAGAACCAACTTTTGGTTTCATTGGTTTTTTTCTACTTAATTTTAATTGTGATTAAATACACATAACATAAAATTTACCATCTTAACCATTTTTAAGTATACAGTTCAGTGGCATTAAGTACATTCACATTGTGCTACCATTACCACCATCCATCCACAGAACTCTTTTCATCTTGTAAAACTGAAATTCTATACCTTTTAAACAATAACTCCCTATCCCTGCCTCCCTGCAGCCCTTTGCAGCCTTCCTTCTACTTTTAGTCTTTGTGAATTTGACTACTCTATGTACCTCATATAAGTGAAATCATACAGTTTGTCCTTTTGTAAATAGCTCACTTCACTTAGCATAATGTCTTCAAGGTTCAGTCATGTTGTAGCATGTGTCAGAATATCCTTCCTTTTAATGCTGAATAATATTCCATTGTATGTATATACCACATTTTGTTTATCTGTTCATCCTTTCATGGACCCCTGGGTTGCTTCCAGCTTTTGGCTATTGTAAATAATGTTGCTATGAACATAGGCATAAAATTATCTGTTCAAGTCCTTGCTTTCAGTTCTTTTGGGTATATTCTGTTTTCCATAGACGTTTCCATATGAATTTTACATTGATACCAGCAGTGCACAAGGGTTCCAATATCTCCATATCCTCACTAGCACTTATTATTTTCTGGGTTTTTTTTTTTTTTTGATAATAGTCATCCTAATGGGTGTGAAGTGGTATATCGTTGTGGTTTTGATTCACATTTCCCTGGTGATTAGTGATGTAGAGTATCTTTTTTATGCACTTGTTGGCCATCTTTATATTTTCTTTGGAAAATGTCTATTCAGGTCCTTTGCCTGTTTTTTTTTTTTTTTTTTTTTTTTTTGTGAGGAAGATCGGCCCTGAGCTAACATCTGCCAATCCTCCTCTTTTTGTTGAGGAAGACTGGCCCTGG